AACCGACAGATTGACCCATTTTGAGCAGTAATTATACCAAAATTGTAAAAAAAAAAATAGATAAACACTTTGCATTTAAGATAAAAAGAATAAGAAAGAAAGTTTGAGTTTCAAAAGTATTTTTTAAAAAACCTTTGGCTATCAGTTAATTATTAATCGATTAATCGAAAAAAATAATGGACTGATTAATCATTTTGAAAAATAACCATTAGTTGGAGCCCTTAACAGCAACCTTTAGTAGTAAAATAGAAAAAATAAATATATATCTAAAAAATGAGAACGTACAAAATAAAGGTTTACATTTTTCAATTTACAGTAAAATATATTCAGCAACTTTCCCTCACAATGTTATTTCTCTCAATGTTTTAAAATATTTTTACTTTTTAAATCTGGATCAGAGGAACAACATTTCCAGGTAAAGAAACTTTGGCGCTCCTCTGTGCAGGAACAAAGTTTTGGTCCAGTTAATAATCCCTCTATTTCTGGTAAACCTGCTGTCGCATTGCTCAGCATTCCCATGGAGCTGTGAGGACAACGATGTACTGATTCCAACCTGCATTATTAGTGAATGAAGTGAGCAACAAAACAGAATTAAGCTTCAACAAAAAGCTAAAGCAGTGGGAGCAGCACTGCCTTGAGGTGCTCGCAGAGAGCAACTGGACGTTTTCACTCCAGTAGCCGAGTGTTTGGGGTTGGTTTATCAGCAGATAACAGTAGGATGCAGCAAACACAACAGCAGGTCGAGCATATTTTCAAAGACAAACAGCACAAACATATTTCACAGCCGACTTGGCAGGATTGCAGATTAACTTTTAGTTAAGACCTGAGCAATTCCAGCGAAAATGCAGTTTTTGACTGATATCTTATATTTTAAGGACCAGTAGAGTAAATATCAGGACCACGGTTTAATAAACTTAAACTTATTCATTTGAAAAACTCTCTCTCTTCTGGTCTTTTTATTTTTGCCTGTTCAGTTCTTTAAGTCATTAACTTGCATACTCCTATCTTTCAGTCTCTTCCTAGTTTTCCTCCACTTACTCCCCCTGCGGTTTCTGTCACTTGTTCACAGACGACTGGCCATTACATCGCCATGACCTAAATGTGTCACTTCCCTCCCACTATGGTTCTTTTCCTTTCTTATTCAACCCCTCCCCCTCGCCGCTCTCTTCATATATCCTTTCCTGTCCATCTGGCGTCTCTCAGTTTTTCTTCAACTTTTCTGCCTTAATTATACACAGTGTAAAAGTGAAAAGTTCCCCTTGACCAGTTTTACCATTGCTGACCTTATTATAATCTCCCGGCCTCTCTGCTGTATTTGCAGATCTTGTTCCTTTGATCCGTTAATACCACTCTGACCGTAAATTATCTGTATTTCTGGATGAAAAACCTCTGCTGATTACCGACCGTATGGATAGGATAGACTCTCCACATCTCATCCCACCTCAGCCTGCCTGCCCTCAATTCCCTCTGGTTTCCTCATCAATCACAGAAGTGTATCAGAGCGACAGCAGTATTGATCGAAAACTCCGCAGATCAGTTTAAAAACAGAGAAGAAAACTGACAGGTGGAAAAGATCGGTCTAAACAGCTGATTGACTACAAGCCCAGATCTTTGGACACCTGAATTCAAATGAGCTCACCTTTTACAGAGACTGTTAGACGGCAATGTCACAACACATCAAGGCTGGATTACCCGTAAGGAGGAGAAGTACCTTGTGGGAACAGGAGGTCTTTGTCACATGTCTGCTTTGACTCTAGGAAGCATTTATCACCACAAAAAGACTTTTAAGACCATTTATTTTATTAGGAAATCGTCTGTGAAAGAGCTGCATGGAAAAGCATCAAGCTCACGGCTGTAGAAGTGTCTTGCAGAAAAGTGCACCTTAATCTTCTTCAAGCAAAACGTCTTGCAACCAAAGATGTCAATATTTATTATTGAGATGTGATGTTTCGTTGCAGAGAAAAATCTTAATTTAAATGGTTTTGGGCATTTGTACTTATGAAAAATACTTTAAAAAGCAGATTAACTGCAATTGCAGCCTGGAGAATTTAAGGAAATTTCCTGACAAGCTTTGCACATCCAGAAACTGACGTTGCAAACTTTTCTTCGCAAAAAAAAAAAATACTAAAATCTTTCAGATCGTATGGACGGCACCTGTAAACAATACTTCTGTTTGTATTTTTTATGATCAGTGTCCTGCTCTAAGGTGTGTTTTAGCTCCAGTCTAAAGTCTGTTAAAGCTACTAAAGGCTGCTACCTGTTTCTCGAGAACCAAGACGTTTGTCCTTGCTCCTTCAGCAAATGATGTCATTTTGGTCTCTTAACCCTTTCTCAGGGGATCTCACTGCTTGTTCTTGACATAATTTCTAGGTAGACTGTTTTCTCTAGGGGAGTCCGACTAGTGTACTGTAATTGGAAAGGATATAGATGGGGTGTTTAGATTTAAAAAGGGGAGAGGTCTCATGTATCTGTTGAGCTTAACATTGTAGTTGCGCAATTCAACTGTGGTGTCAAACATTTTATTCCTGCTCATTTGCAGCATTTCTATTAATTATCCAAGAGGGGTGGTCTTACCCTCTGTAAAAACACACATCCCTGGTGTTAACCTCTTTCTAAATAGCACAACAGCACACCTTGAGCTACTATTTCTGTCTGCTTTACATTTTTTAAAATAAGCCACAGAAACCAAAAAGATTTTGGAAGCAGATCAAATAAATATGGTATCTTTTAGGATATTTTTATAAATATCCATGATTTCTTCTGGTTGCGAGGGAGCGAGAGAAAGCAAAACGTTTACCAAAAAAACTGAGCCTGATGTCAATAGGTATAGCTACCCAGGTTAATCACCAGCAAAAGATGGTAAGTCAGAGTCTACCCTCAGCTTATTTTGTCTTTTTTTTTTAATATATTATTAAAATGGAGTTTACAGCAATAACCTTCACAGATATAGTTTGGCATTTCCTCTGCTAGCTATGTAGAAAATTAACCTCTACACATAAAGGTTTATAAAAACATGTTTTTTTTCATACTTTTTTCTGTCCAGATCATTTGCATCAGCCAATGCTTGAATCTGAGAGTCAAAGGTTGGACAAAGAAAGAGACAAAATAATCAGCCACAAAATTCAGGTTTAAGTCTAGTTCAACAATGTCCAAGGCAAGAAAATTAGATCAGTATGTGACGAAAAGTGAATGAGGTTCTGTTGGCTAAGGAATGTAGAGCTTTTATTTTTCCTCACTTTTATATGGTCCAGTATTTTATAACAGTAAAATGTCTAATAAAAAGGCCTTGTGAGCAACTTATGCTGGAAAGAATGCAGCAGTCTAGTTAAACTATTAAAAGTTGTGAATATGCTGAGATCTGATCATTTATATGTGATATATTGATATAAAATATAAAGATAAGAGTATAAAAAAAAGATTTAAAAGTCATAACTGTTAAGTTACAGAAGATAAAAATAATAATGAAAACAAAACCAAAAATCTATTAGAAAATGTAATAGTTCAAAGCTTAAAAAAAAATATTTTATGCAGTGTCTTCCAATTCTTGGCACCTCTGGCCTTCAGTTCACTTATAAATCACTTTAATTATTTAAAAGATTAAAAAGTAATTTCCGACTAAATTATAGAGATGTTGGTTATTTGTGCCTCTTATTATCCTTATAATTGTTACTAAAATGTTTGTAATTCATTCATTATTAATCTTTTATTCAAAATTGATTGCAAAGTTTTATTGAGGAATATTTTTCTCTGGGGTGGGTTTCACACAACTAGTACAAATATTAGGAGTTTTTGTACCCTTCGAAATAAGAAAGATAAGAATCACAACTCAAAGTTGATCAGGAAATGAAAAAAGACAATCCTTCTCATTTTTACCCAGTTATGATTTGTAAATATGAGAAAGCTTAAACTGTGAAGACCAGCAATAGATGAGGTGGTTTGTCCTGTCACCATACTCTGTCATTTTTTCCCCAAAACAGAATCTATTTTTGTAATCAAAGAGGGCTGTAGTTGAGGGTGTTTTATGCATCTTTGCCAAAGGTGAGATAATTTGTGGATTTATATGCTAATTTTAAAACAGGACTGTATTTTTGCCAGAAGCACAGAGCATCTTCTACAAGAAGGACATGTTATTCAACCTATTTTACTCCGTAAACAAAGAATCTCTGGGATTTCCTAAGGTTCTTAGGAGAATCCCTTGTTTCAGATTTGTGAGCTTTCCCAATGGGGGCTTTTCACTGATGTCACTAAAGTCACAACTTGGGTGTCGTTGTATTGCACCGTGCTTTTCACAACATTGAATACTTTTCCCCCATAGATAAGTCTCTAGATTCATTAAAGGCAGAATATTGCGGTAATCAACAAGGTTGATCCACATGTACTGCCTGTTAGCCCAGGGCATGTCTGGCCTACATGTGCATTCCGTGGTGCAGAGTGTAGCAGAGCAGAACAGACTCACATCAGATGTGCGATCTGTCTCTGCTTCCACAGCTGCAGGATGGGCTCCATCCTGACTTTGAGTACATCCAAATCAAGTGTGATGTGGATGAGAGAAGCTGAGCGCTGAGTGGGGCCACATTAATTAGCAAACTGCATGCTCTGCTTGTATCTAATTACCTGCTGCAGCCAACTTTCTTTTTACAAAAGTGTAAACAGTTATCTGTTTTATAACAAAACATGAGAAAGTAAGTTGCATGTATCAACAGCCTAATCTCTCGGATATGAATCAAATCACCTTACATACAGTGACTAACTTTGAACTAACTTTTTTAGCTTCAAATGTCCCCTCTTCAAACCCCCAATAATTCCTCCTGCCTATCCTTTCATAGATGAGTAGCTACTCCACTGTCTTAATCCAGTAAAATTTTCAGTGCCACAAAAATGAAACTATCAGGTGCATAAATAAAGACCATTATAATTTTGTTATAAATGATAAATGACATACTTGTGATCATCACAACTGAGGCTGACTAATTAACCTCACCACTGGCCTCTGAACTCACCCAAGCAGGCGGATCCGTTGATGTTTGGCTCATATCCTTTGTCACAGACACATCCTCCAACAGGCACCATCCACTCGCCTTCAGCGTTGCAGTGCATGCGAGGGGGGGTGCCGCCCTGTGTTTTACTGTGGGGGACACACATCCCTGTCACAGGCACTAAAGCAGTCGGCTCTGCACCTGATGGAGTTGCCGGATAGGACGCCAAGTTGAGGCTGGTGGCTGGACAACGGCGGTAGAAAATGGACACCCCCATGAGGGAAACACAAGCTCCACTGTCCACAATTGCTAAAACAAACCTGAAACAATGGTCACATGCAAGGATGGGGAATGTCAAGACCTTTTTAGATTCTATGTAGAGAGAAAACATTAGAAATAGAAACCAGGGCATGGATGATTACCCATTACGTGTCAGAGGAGCAAAGCTTCGTGTTTTAACATTGATGCGACTGTAGCGGTTGGGCTGATACTGGTGAGGTGAACTGGGCTCTACTTTGGAGAAACTCTTATCAGCTGCAATCGTGTCGATCTTCACCCAACCTTCCCTTGTCTCTCTCTCACCGCTAGATGGCTATGGAGAAAAAGAGCACAAAACACACAAAATCACTATTTAATAAAACAAACCTACAAATCTGACTTGGCCATAGTCTTGCCAAATGCAATCCTGACTTACTTAAAAAGTAAAAAAAAAACAAGTTGTTTTTGAAAGAAAGCCATCAAAGATCCCAATTTCCACTAGCCCTGCTTGGAAATCTGAATCTGTGTGGTACAGTATAATAAAGCCTCATCAATCTGCATTAAAAAAAGCTGTTCGATGGCAGAATAACTTTGCATGGAGGTTTTCCTTCTGTCAGAGTTTGCTGGAAAACTGACCAGGACAGGATTTCACTTCGTGCAAGACAACAACAATAAAAAATACAACAGAAGCTCCAGATGGATGGTTTGTATCAAAGCATGCAAACTGGATAAAGAATCTTGGATAAGAGCTGGAAGAATATTTCCACACTCCTCTTCCAATCTGACTGAGCTTGATTTACTTTTTCTGAAGATGTGAAAAGCTGTCATGATTTGTGTTTTGCTTTTCTCTGTTTTTGGCCTGTTTCCCTGCTCTTCTCTGCACTGCACGTAAGTAAGCTAGCTGTTTCCACCCAAACCCCACCACATTGTTTCTGTATCCTAATCACCCCTCATTCATCACACCTGTTATCCTGCTTATAAGGATCTGCATATTGACTTCCACAGTCCAGTATGATAGGTGGCAGTAAATGCATGTTAGGTTGGTTTGCCAACAACCGGTTGAGCTGCCAGATTATCGAAAGCCAGCGTTGTTTCCCTGCCGGTCTTTTTTGCCTCCTGGATTTCCCTTTTCTTTCATTCCCTTGTCAAATATTCTTCTGACCTTGTGTCTGCCTGCTGATGAATCACTCTAAGGAACCAAAATTCAGTTCCCCTGCTCTACTTTGGATTCTGAGAAGATTAATGGCTCTACTATTGAACACATTACCATTGCTTAGTTCTTGCTCAACCACTAATCTACCTATCTTCCTCCAGAAGTTCCTGTTACACAAAGCTGGTTGAAATATACCCACCCATCACTTAAATCTTTTAAGTGATTACTAAAGAGAGCCGAATACCAATGCATGCCACACCTTTAGGGTATCTGTAGAAAAGTACCTTGAAGCTGTTTATTCATTATTCTCTACTTTGTAAATTCTGCCTTTTTTTGTAAAGATAAATCAGAGAACACAGAGTAGAGATCTTACCATCAATTTAACAGGAAAACATTAAGGTTGTTTCTTGATAAGCAAGCAATGTTTTAAGCATATGGAAACTTAAATATTTTAGGAATTATGATTGCTGACATGAGTCTGTGCAGTTCTTCATGGGGGTTCCTGTTTTAATCTTTGCTGTGACTTTCAGCAACGTGCCATTTGCAGCTACTTTATGTCTCTCCACTTCTTCCTGATCAATTTGCATATTTAAAAAGCACCTCTTTTCCCAGAGGGGTAAAATGTTCATGTACACCAATCCTTCATAACTACCCATTTATCTCAGCTAGAGTTGCACCACACGATCAGACAGAAATATATAGTGTTTCTATGGTCGGACCCTATTCACGATAGTCTTCAAATACTAAATAATCAGAACTGCCACAATTTTTATTTTTTTTTTTGCATCAAGTGCTTTCAAGTTTTTTTTCTCTTTTATGCGAAAAACTCACAATGCACAATTTGTACAAGTTGAAATCTGGTAACTTTAAAGGAAGTTAACAAAGCAGCCCATCTCTGACTCCAGTCATTTGGTTTCAACATCTATCTGTCATGCAAAAGTTTGATTGGAGGTCTTTATATCGTGTTGGAGGACTGATGATAAATTTATGATGAAAACAGAGATTTTTTATGTAAAATATTGTAGCCGGTGTTTCTGGTCTAAGGAAACTAATCTCAGAACCTTTTTAGTAATCAGAGTGATTATGCAATCAGTCATTGTTGGGCCATGATGAAAAGGCTGCTGCATTAATGTTAACTGCAATGAATCACTAATGATGGCTTTAATAATTCTGTCTGAAGGTACTTAGCCTCAAGCAGTGACTAAAATAATACCTGTTTAAATTTGCTGTGGCCAGACTCTATTTAATCAGGAGGTCACTGCCTTACAGTCGTCACCGGGGATTAAGAGCTTTGCATTCAATACATAACATGGACAGGAGCTTTGTAAATTTAATGTTAGATTTAATTTTGTTACACCGACTACAGGAAGTCAGCACTCAGGCTTATTTAATAATTAACAACTCTAATCCAAAACTTAAACAGGCTTGTCAGTAATTAACTGTTTTAGATAACTATCTTTGGAAAATAAGAAAAAATGAGAGCTTTGGAATTTTGTGGTGGGAATGATTGTGATGTTAGGTCATAGAGAATAAAAAATCTAATTTGGCAATTCTGGCACATTTACGGTCCCATGCCAGCCCCTCGGGCCTGGATACAAAGCGCCTTACTTCCATTTGCGTCCCACTGTAGACATGCCAGCTCCTTGCAAACTGAATCATTTACATGCCATTTGCTTGCAGGCATGTGTGCAAAATTAGGCCTAAATCAGGCCAATTCTTCTGGGTACTGAATTTAAGTCATTAGTGATTTTATTTGGTAAACAATAACATTTTTAGATCTAACATAAATTTAGGAGGTTTTCAAAATAACACATTTTGAGATATAGTCCTTTTTCACTGTCACTACCCTGCCACACTGCTTGACAATATCAGCCTGTATTTTAATGGAATTGGAAAACAGTGACAGCTACTGTATACACCAGCATGATGTTCTACTCTGAGATGCCTGCTAAAATAGCCATGGTTATTTTCCCTTAGGCTAAGATTCAAGAGGTTTATCTATGAGGACATCATCGCTGTGTGAGCACTGAGCAACGCATGCCCTTCTACACATGCGCCGCACAAAGGTCAAGTCAGTGTGTGGTGGTGGCAAGCTGATAAATGCATCGCCTGGTCATACCATCACAGCAGTGAGGCTGAGGGTGTAGACAGGGCCATAAAAAAAATCTTCTGCTTCATTTATTTTCTCCCTGCTTTTAGATCTTTTGTGGGAAACAACAAAAAAATCAATAAAACAATAACAAAAACATGTGACCATGAGAAAACAACAGAGTAATCATACTACTAAAGATCACTACATAAAACACTGCTACTGGGGATGCTAACCCTTGTCTTCACTTCAGGTTTGTGCTACATAGTTACATAGTTACATACCAGTATTTCTGGCCATCAGAACAGCTGGATTATTGTGTATTCGGGGGAAAATGGTGTGGAAAATTTATAAAGGGTAACTCATCCCAAAAACAATAATAAAAACCTTTTTTTTGCTAATAAATAGGTGTTTATTAGCTGAGCTGTCTCCTTCAATCAACTCACATTTTCAGAACAGTAGAGCTACATCCCACGTTAGACTCTATGGATGCAATAACGTTGTTAAAAAAAAAAAAATCATGACGTACAGTACTGCAGCAGACAGCAAAACCTAGCTAAAATTATTTTATTGCAGCTCTTTAAAGTTACTAAACAGCACACAACCAGTTGCTTTTGCACGAGTTGAATGGTACAAGGCTGTTTAATGGTAATACAATAGAAGAGACTAGAAAAAATTGGGGCCGAAATAAAGCTAATAAATCCAAAAGTTCCTAAAGGAAACTAAACTGTTCTAAAAAGCGCTATCTCTGTGGTAATTGCTTGTCTTTAAGTAACAGTAGTTTAGATCAGGTTAACATTTAAAGTATTTCTCTAACTGACGGGATAGGCCAGATCCTGGGTTCCTTGAGAAATTTCCTCAAGTTTTTCTGTGGTACTTGTGGAACAAAGTGGACTTTATACTCTTACACCCCAAGTGCAGGACTTTCCAAATTAACTTCCATAGAAATAGGAAATGTCATTTTAGGCTTTGACCTTACCTCTGCGACCCAGGTTCTCATCAGCTCCCTCTGTGAGTCAGCCTGCTTGTAGTAGAGGGTGAGCGTTTCACGACAGGTGGGCGATGGTGTGCGCAGGCTGGCGCAGTCGCGCACAGAGAAGCGCAACGTTACAAACATCCGTGGAGCCGATTGACGGTAGAGGAAAGGTGTTGCCAACCAGTTATCCTGCTGACGGGGATTCTGGTTGACATTGCAGACCTCAAAGGTGCGAATGAGCTTCCCCCGGTCATCCAACACACTGACCTCATCCCACTGAAAGAGACAGAGACAACATGTGGTGGTGAAAGAGTTGTATTGGCTTGATATGATCTTGTATCATGAATATTGCTGTAAGATACAAGAAATAGATGTCAGTAGTTCTATACAAACATGCAACAGAGATATCAAAACATCTCATTAGACCAACTCTAAGAAACTTTTCAAACTTCAAAAAATATTTTCACAACTTTATTGATTACACGCCGAATTACAATTAGCTGAATGACAAGGCCAGGGGCTCTGTATCTATTTCAATGGCATCAGGAGATCAGGATTTAACCATGTGCTGGTTCTCATGGGAAATCCGGTCTTCCTTCAGGTGAAACAATACAGCTTTTGTCGACTAGATGGAGCCAAAATTAGCCAAAACTAAAAGTTCTTTATAATCTGGGGTCAATTTCACGAAGCAAGTTTGACAAATTCAGGTTTAAATCCGCTATTCTAAATTGACCTAACCTAAAATCGGGAACTCTGAGTGTTCGATTTCATAACAGCTGCTATCAATTAGTTCAATTAATTTTAACTAGGTCCACTCAGAGTTAAGCGTGTGCGCAACAAGTATGAAACAAGTATGTAAAGCTTTTATCAGTGGTCCACTGATTCACCCTGAAACACTGAGTCATCATGAAAACAACCAATGGGAAGTGCCAATTTCACCTCACTGGAAGTAGAGATTTTAATGCAGAAATGCAAAAAATAAAAATAAAATAAATAAAGGAGAATGTCTTTATAAGACAGAGAAACAGTGCTACAGCTACAAAGGAAAGGAGGATGCCGAAGGAAAAGTATGTTGCTTGAGTTAAGGCGTAAATTTATATGAAGTTTTCTATGGCAGGCCATTTTTCATTTTATTAAAAGCATTTCTCTCTTTTATTCCATTTGTAGATCACTAAAATTAGATTTTTCCGGATCAAAATCACACTCCTATACTTAAGTGTAACAATATATTTTCCAAATTATATTTTCATAGCAGAAACTGAATGTTAGAAAGCAAAAACAAAAACAAAATTATACTGGTAACAGTTAAGTTTTATATATCTAGAAATGTTTACACATTTTAATTGGCCGTTTTGAAATTTATCAGCTTGACTGAAAATGTATTGATGATATCTGAAAAACATTTTTTCATTGTTAAAATAATACAAATGCTGGCCTGTAATATTAGGAATATGGAGATATGAAATTAATTTATAGACATCCAGAATGTTTATTCTAGATGTGGAGAATAATTAATTAATAAGTAATTTAGACAAAGAATTTTTTTTTTATTTTCACATATCAGGAATACATATTCAGTAAAACTAGTAAATATTAAAACAGCTTCCCACAGAGTATTTACCATGAAAATATTACTGGATTATTTCATGAATGGTAGTAGATCAATGTATCTATTTAGGTGAAATCTTCTGGCAGTAGTTGAGGGTGAACTCTAAAAAATTTTTTCTAATATATTGAACCTGTGGATCATCTCATGCATCCCTCCTTATGTTGATTCAGTCTTATTTTACACAGTATAGTGGCTGTTTGCAGGAAAATGGCGGTTATAAGTGGCTATCATTCCCATAGAATGGCTTCAGATTGTGCCAGTACAGTAGACTCATTAGGCTGTTATTGACTGAATCCTAATCCTAACCTTAAAGTAATTCCTTTCCCCCCATGGAATTAATGAATCTATTTATGTGTAATTTGAAAAAAATTTCAGTGGTTCTTCATGTACTGTAAATATGAATACAATAAAAATAAAATGATCGGCATCTCGCTCACATTAAACAAACCAAAACCAAGTAATCTCACATCCTGTTAACTGAGTTGTGGAATCTTCTCCCTATAAATATTTTATTCTCTGGGAAAAAGTGCTGATCATTCTTTAATAAGATCCTTGTCAGACGGACATCCAATGTTTGTTTTTAGAACTTAATATGTGTAATAGATCTAGTGAATGATATATATTCATGTTAATGCACAAAAATCGGACTAAATCAGGGAATAAAACAACATGATCGGCGGTATGGAAAGCAGCGACAGAGGACACTCTGAGTTTACTGAAGAAAACCTGCTACCAACCAAGTTAGCTCTCAAGAAAATGTTACTACGATGACTGAAACAGAGGTTAAATGAACTCTCTTTGTGAACCGAAAAAGTCAGAGTTTCCCTGATTTTTAGATTTGGACAATTTACAGTTTTCAGTAAACCTGCTTTGTGAAACGGACCACTGCTTTTCAATGAACAAGAAATCAAAGCCAGTTTTAGTGTCACTGAGAGACTGTTCAAGCATCATGGTATTAAAATAAAAATATTTCATAAAAAATAAAGACATGGCCTACAATAAAAGATCTTTTTGAATAAATTAATTGCAACGTAGTCTTAAGAGTTCCTGTATTTTTTTCATTATTAAACCTGGCTTAAACAATCCAATGCCATTTTACCAGTGCTTTACCAACAAGGCCCCCCTAGCAACAGCAGGAGGCATCAGAAAAGAGGAAGATAAATCAGATCTATGAAAGCAATGCTGAACAGTGGAGAAACTCTGATAAAAGATAAAAACAACGTATATATTCGATAGTGAAATTAGCTGCAACATTATATGTTTTCTTATTAGCTCCATCTTACCAAAGACTCTTTAAAAGACATTTAAAAGGATGCATTAAGCCCCAAAATAACATTAGATTTAATCATTTTTATTTAAAACCAATTAGATTATTTTATTCAAAATAATCTAATTGGTTTTAATCCAACCTGACAATAAAAGAAAACAGAAAATGAGTATTTATGCACATGCTGCACTGCGACTGCACAGCTAGTGAGTTGGAGCCTGGTGCATCTTTACTCACTGGAACAGGTATAGATGGATTAACCCAGGCTGCAGTTACTGATCAAACCAAAATATCTGAGTGGGTTAAATGTCAGTTACAACAAATGAATTATCAATCATAGAGGATTTTAGGCTAATTTGGGGGGTTGCTAAAGCACCTTTATATTGAGTGAAAGCACCCCAAACATTTGAGGGTTTCTTTAATACTGTATGCTATTTTTTAAATAAAAAGTAAACAAACATAAACAAAAACTATATAAAAGTGTAAAAAATGTTGGGTTTAATACACAATAATTTAAAGCCAAGTGATTATTACTGATACAAAATTTAGATCCATGATTATTTTCCTCTAATGAAATTTTACAGGTTTCGGCTGTATTTTTATCTTCAAAGAAGGGAGACAGAAAAATTACCTTCTTTATTCCCTCGTTAAAGCAGCTCCTCCTATCCAATGCAGCAGAGTTTCTCATTCAGATACATTGTCCATCTAGTACTAAGCACGCTGGGGAACATGCCTATTGATTGACCTCCCCCTGCAGAGCAATAGGCATAAGTTGTTGATCGCTGTAGGATCAGCCTCTGATTTTTAGTTGACTACTGGGACATTAACCAAACTTGAGGGATGGTTCACTTACAAAAGTTTCCTTCTGGCCCTAAAATGGCTAACCTCTGCCATAATATTTTACAGTGAACAGGTGTCAGGCACTAGGACACAGAGTACGGAGGGGGAACCAAAAGAAATGGGTTTGTGAGAAATCAGATATAGTAGCTAATCCTACTAAATAACGACATATCTAAAATAAAAATATGTAAAATATATTATTAGCGTTAAGCAATTCAAAATATTTGTTCAAGAAAAACCTCTCTCCAGCTTCGGTCCTCCATGAGCCCAGTAAGTAATAAAGTAGTGTAAAAAGCTATGCTACAGGTAACAAAGACATGAGTTGATGGATCAGAAATAGCTTGATAATGGAAACATTGGAAATAATGACCTTGTAATTAAAAATGTCAAAAGTAACTATAAATGGATATTAATGCAACTTCTTTTTAATAGCACTTTTTGATAAAGCCTATAGTTAGAGTGGCTCAGATTATCCTGAGCTATCTTCATAGTTATGCCGCTATAGGCTTAGACTTCTGGAGGACATAGGGACCCTTTTTTCATCATTCTGCCTCATTCTATCTCTATTCTCCAACTCTGCAATCTCTAGTTCAATCTCTAACAATATGCTCTCTCTGCTTTTTCTCATAGTAGTTTGCCTCCTCTTTTCCTGTTTGGCTGTGACGCCATCCTGGAGAGAAATATCAGCTTTGCTGCTGCCATCAACACCTTTGTTTATAGATGTCCGAGATCGGCCTGTTTTTTAGTCAATCAGACATGGGGGCAGGCTCAGAGCTCATCTGCCTGGCTGTATGTTTCCAGGATGACCTTTTCCAATTGCCTTTTGCATGTCTGCTTCTGTCTCCTTGAACCCCAGTTGGCATCAGCAGATGGCCGTTCACACTGACCCTGGTTCTGCTGGAGGTTTCTTCCTGTTAAAAGGGAGTTTTTCCTCTCCACTGTAGCCACAAGCATCCTTAGTGTGAAGGATTGCCTTTGAGTCAATGAGTCTCAAAGGCAGTAAAGATGACGTGTGTTGTTAATTGGTGCTATATAGATAAACTGAACTGAATTTAATTGAATTGTTGTGATTTCAGTTTGATTGAGCCTTTTTGAATCTAGATAAACATCACAGCATTGGTCATTTTCTTCACTCATCCGCCAAATTAATTTACACTAACTATTTAGCATCAAAGCAGGGGTTTTATTTGATGTTATTTCTTTAAATCATTTTGGTTTGGATATCTATCTGTGAATAGTTTAGATTACTCTTTCCCAATGGTACATAACAAATCTAGACTGGATGTATTAAAGGTTTATTTATAACAGACACTACAAATGTAGGCCATGTCTGTATCCTCCCGCAGAAGCCTTCTATGTTTCTAATTAATCATGATTATAAAAAGCAGTAATTAAACCACTTGGGTCTTTCATTTAGCTTCTGGAACATGGTTTAAGTGTTAGAGATAAAAACTAATGACCAAGAGATAACCTAATTAATTTCTTTATGTTTCTCCTTAAGGTAAATCCATGAGATAAATTTAGCTTTTAATGCTGGGGTTCTGCAGTTTTCTCTCTATA